TTCTGTACATTAAATTAAACAAGTATATGCAACTACTTCAGTATGATTTATAAATGGATTGACCCCTCGGTCGGACTTCTGTCAGCTGATTGGGAAGGTTACTTAGCAAATCCTATAATCCCGTTCTGGGTGACATTCAGTGTATTTGAATGGATGATGTAATTGCAAAGACATACAGAGGAGTCCTTGACTTACAACCACAATAGGGACTGGAAAAATTGTTGTTAAATTGTTTGATCGTTAAATGAGTCATGTGACAATGCCAGATTTTATGATCATTTTTTGCTGTGGTCGTTAAGCAAGACATGGGATCGCCATTTGCGACTTTCCCTACTAGTTTCCCCTTTGTCTGTCGGAAGCCAAGGGGTGATCATGAGACCCCAGGATGCTGTAATACATTCCTGTTGCCAAGTGCCCAAAACATGATCATGTGACTGGGGGAATCCTACAACAGTCGTAAGTGTACCCATAAGTCATTTTTTTTTCAGTGCTGTTGTAGTTTGAAATGTTGTAATTTGGAATGATTCCTAAATGAATGGTTGTAAGTTGAGGACTACCTTAAGAGAAAAAGTAAAGAATCCTATGACCCATTGGGACATCCTTTCAGAGAAAGGTGGTGCAATCTGATGTGACCAGTATGAATATTAAATTTTATGCAGACCATGTTTTTTTTTTTTACTCCAATGCTGGGTTGACCTGTGATCATCTAAGGAGAATATATATCATACATATAAAAATAATTGTAGTGGCAAATGAACTTAATAATAAATGAATATTTACTTAAACAGATGCCCATGGGTGGGAAAACAAAAGCAGTGGGAGTGGGAACAGCTTCCAACTTTCTGCTAGTTTCCCCGTTCACTTTGCTTGTCAGAAGCTGACAGAGTGTCAGAAATCATGGCCACGTAATCATGGGGATGGTGTAACAACCACAACTGTGCAAATAAAACGGGTCTGACCATCATGGACATTTCAGTTGCATAGGAGTAATGGGCCCTGGATTTTACACACGTTCTTTAAGTTAGTGGATTTGAATTACCTTGATTCAAAACTTATTGTGGTATAACGCAGAATTTGGGCTAATCTGAGGGTACATACAGACACACAATGAGAATTGTAGATAACTCATGATCTGTTGAGTCATTATCTCAGAGTTATTTCCTTACCTAAACAGAGAAACAGAATGAGTATAGGTGAACAAAAAAGCAGTGGGAGCAGGACAGCTTCCAATTTACTACTGACTTTCACATTGACTTTGCTCGTGGGAAGCTGGCAGGGAGCACCAGAAAGCACAATTACATAACTGTGGCAGTGCTGCAGTAGCCGCAACTTTGTGAATACAACTACTGTGAGAACCCTTGAAATTTAAATCATATCAGAGTAATAATAATGAATTTTGAACTTACTCTTTAAGTCAATGCATTTGAGATACCTAGAATCAAAAATCCTCACCACATCACAGTGCAGCCTCCCATCCATGTGGCACCTCTTAAACACACCCATACACCCTCCTCAACTCTCACTTTGCCTCTCATGTAACACTGTGCACTTTTGCCACAAGTCCCTCATGCACCCACTTGCCCTTATGCACCCACTCTCCATGCACCCTCCGCAATCCACACCTTACTACTGTGTGCCCTTGCCCATGTGGCATCCCTCATGCAGCTCTGTTCATCTTTCATGATCCACACAATGTGTCTTGTGCATCCCCTTGCACCCTCATGAACCCTCTCTGACATGCATGGTGCCTCCCATACACTCCCTCACCTGGTAGCAGCTACTTATAATATATAGCTCATAGTAATAGGATTAAAAAACTGGAAATCAGCCATTTCAAAACCAAAATTCAACAACAAATATGATAATAAAATCATGCCTGCCCATTCACATAAGTCATTGAAAACCATAGAAGTCATCCACACAATGCCCAATTAAATAATACAGATTTCCTTGTCTTGCAAAATACCAGTAAAAACAGTGCAAGACATAGCTCTTCCACTGGAGTGTTCCAAAGTAGATGGGCCACTGCAGAGAAGGACTGACTTCAGGTCTACATTTCCCTGATCTGACTTAGGGATAGGAACACAAGACTTTTTCCATACATGCATATGGGCTGGGCAGATTTCACTTGGACACGATTTGACTGTCAGAAGGTATGCAGCAGTTTTATACTGAAGGCTCTTTGGGCAAATGACGTAGCCTGTTCTTCAAACTGAGTCCCAACAGATGTTCTGGATTAAAACTCAATGCTAGTCAGCAATTTGTCATAGATAATGGGAATGCTGGTGTAAAATATTTTTAAGAACTCATGTTGGGATGCTGTCCTGGTTCTTGATACTGCTGCCTTATTTTGTTCAGTGCCTTTTTCAATATTTATCTTGAAAGATTTCCATTGAGAAACAATGAATGAAATAATGTACAAACTTCTTAGTTTCTTCAGTTACTGGCTTATATGTTCAACATTGTTAATTATAATTCTCCTAACTCCAAGTGGCAGCATTAAATTCTTTGGGCTACATATATGACATACAACCATCTGATGTACCATAGGACCCATCTTTTCAAGTAGTTGCTTCATGTGGCTGCATGATTTATGAACATCTGTTAAAGTAGCAAAGGTTATAGCTTGTGGTCATGCTGCCTTATTCTTTGTGGTTATTTTGGCTTGCTCTTTGTAGTGAATCTCTCAGGTATTAACTACAACTAGGTGGAGCTGTTTTATGTTACATAGAAGTTAAACTCTTAAGCTTCTCAAGTATGAGATGTGTTTTGGCCAAACTTTTAGAGTCATATTCATTCTTGGAGTGTTTGTGCACCCTTAATATAAACCTTAGCCGAGGGCACTGAGCCAGAATTGATATATACACATATGCTTTTTATGCTGGTGAATGAAAAAAGAAAAAAAACTTAGAGTATATTAGCCACATTTCAAGTGTTCATCTTCCCAATTCAAAGAACGTTCCTCAAGGCAGTGTACAACAACAAAAAACAACCTGAAAATTAAAATCACACAATTGAAACCACAATACAGGCAGTCCTCAACTTACAATCATTTATTTAGTGACAATTTGAAATCATATTGAAAAAAGAGACTTATGGCCAGTTTTCATACTTAATGACATTTACAGCATTCCCATGGTCATGTGATCAAAACTCAGGCGCTTGGCAACTGGCATGTATTTATGACAGTTGCACTGTTCTGAGGTCATGTGATCACCATTTGTAATCTTCCCAGCTGGCTTCTGACAAGCTAGATTTGTTTAATGACCTCATTATCCACTTATCTGCAGCGATTTGCTTAACAAGTGTGGTAAAAAGGTTGTAAAAGGAGGAAAACTCACTTAACAACTGCCTTGCTTAGCAACAGCAATTTTGGGCTCAATTATGGTCCTAAATCAAGGACTATTTGTAGATGATTATCACTTGTGAGAGAATTCCACAGGCTACTTCAGCAACAGTAAGGCTTCCAGAAGGGTTTCAACACGTGGACCGGTTCCAAAGGATGATCCTTCAGTTAACCTGAAACTAAGAGTTTAGTTACCACAATTTGGACCTGCTGCAATTTCTGAATCTCTTTCAGAGGCATCATATATACAGAATATTACAAAATAAAAGTTACAGATAACTAGCACATGGATCAGAGTAGTTGAATTGGTCTTCTTCAGGAAATTATGTACCCAGTAGAGAATATAGAGCTGGAAAAAGGTACTTACCACTATGTAGACATAAGTACTAAAGCAAGGGTCCCCAACCCCTCCTCCGTAGACCAGTACCGGGCCATGGCATGCCAGCAACCAGTCCACACAAACAAGCAAAGCCCCATCCACGAGATGCAGGCAGCACACAAAACCACACACTCTGGTCCGCAGACAAACCTCTCTCCATGGAACCGATCCCTGGTGCCCAAAAGGTTGAGGATCTCTGTACTAAAGGATAGACCTAAGGGCTGAAGGCCAATACAGGTCAAAGATAATCACCAAATTGTTCACCTGATTCTTCAACGGAAGAATCTCCCCCATCTACATCAGGAAAGATCTCTTCCAGTTGCTTGAAGTCTCCTGTAAACACCAGTTTCAATCAGTTATGCTTAATCCAATCTGAGCCAAGCAGGAATCAATCATAGAGCCTAACACATTAATGCACATAGGGATCAGAAGTAAACCTTTATCCTCATGGGGAGTAGTGCCAAGCCTCACAACTTTGACAGTTATTCCCCAATGTAAACCAGGAGGCAAATCCCACACTCACTAGCACTGATTATGTTACCTAAGTGGATAAAATATGTGCAAGCAAATAAACAAGGTCAGAGAGCACCAAGGAATCCATGGATCTTAAGTGGCTTTCTTAAAGGCAGGCAGAATTGGAGCTTGTAATTACAGAAAATAGAGACAGCGAGAGAAAATACACACTTCCTACGTCCCATAAGATAACAAGATTTAAAAGAAGAAACTTGGAGATGCTCTCTCTATTGGATCATGCTGTGTGGGCAGATGACCACGGGACAAGAAATCCTTCAAGTAACCTTCTGAGTGGTCAAGAGCAGCCCTAGTGCACTGCAATAGATCAAAGGGGATGATCTGCAGAACTATGGTGAAAAAACTATGCAAAAAAAGAAAAAATATTGTAACTATAATGAAACTCTTAATGATAACTTTATTCTGTTTTGATTGTTGTTGTTAATCCTTTGTGTTTTATCAACCCAGAATTTTGTAATTATATTTGATATTTACCTAAAATATTTGCGAAACTGAGTTATTGCTGTGGCTTAGGTCTAAAGATCCTCCTTTATAATAATTCCACCTGCAAGAGAAATACTTTATCTTTCGTTTAAATTCTCCTGCACCCCTGAAACCAACATTTTAACATCCTCTATAGAACAGAAAAAAAATATGGCCATCATTTTTATGGCCCTCTTCATTTGACCTGAAATGCAGCAGCCCTCTTAATGCAAAGCGTGTTCCCAAGCTGTCTTCTGACAAGAAATATTTTCTGAATTGCAGGATCGAAAGCTGACAAAAGTGGAACGGCAAAGGTTTAAAGAAGAAGCAGAAATGTTGAAAGGTCTTCAGCACCCAAATATTGTTAGGTTTTATGATTTTTGGGAGTCGTGTTTAAAAGGAAAAAAGTGTATTGTGCTGGTAACAGAACTGATGACCTCCGGAACTCTGAAAACGTAAGTACTAGTTATGTCATGACATGGATAATTAGTTAAGTAGAACATCTGTATAGACAAAATTCTTGCTTCATCCCTAACCCTGTTAAGAATGGAAATCTACCTTCCTTCTTTAAAATAGCTTGCCTGACTGTATTTCCAATTAAGTCAAATGAAAGTAAGTTTCAATTCTGTTATATTCTCTATTGTTTTCTTCTGTGACTACCCACAGTCCTGCCTGCATTTTCTCTCCCTTTCTTTGTTTTACTTGGGTCATTTTGAACTTCTGGGTTAACCTTTCCCAAAATAGATAACATTATTAAGCTATAATCAAATAATCTTCCACCAGTGAGAAGGAGAACACTTGATTCAAATTCACATGCTTGAATAATTAATCTGAATCATCATGCTTTATTATCTTACTGAATTTAATATTACCAGTGGTAATATTGGTAACCTTTTGCAATATTTGTAAGAATTCTCTGTATGTTTTTTTCCACTTCATGAGGAATAATAACATTGCTTCAAGTTTCAGGTCTGAAGCACTGTTGATCAACTGTATGCCAATATACATACAGCATCAGTGCATATATAGAGTTTTGCATAAACAAGGATCTTAGTAGAATTGTAATTCATAGATTTTAACACATTAGCATTTTAATGAATTTATTTATAATTTACCTTCCAAGCTATCTTCCTCTTAAATTAGGAATGTACTTGGCTGAAGGCTGAATCAGACAAGTCTAATTGTAAGAGGTAAATCACTTACAAAATGGTCAAACTGACCTGGAAAGTGTCATGCATGTGTCAAGGGTTCACTGTGCTGCAGAAAGGCAGACATTGTCCTCAAGAAGAATCTCAGTGCATCTGTTTTTCTATAAAATAATTTTATTCCATCTCACATGTTTTTATTTTAGCTATTTGAAGAGATTTAAAGTGATGAAACCAAAAGTCCTTCGTAGCTGGTGTCGGCAAATCCTAAAAGGTCTTCTTTTTCTGCACACTCGGACACCACCAATTATTCATAGAGATTTAAAATGTGACAATATTTTTATAACTGGGCCAACAGGATCTGTGAAGATAGGAGATTTGGGTCTGGCAACTCTTAAGAGAACGTCATTTGCCAAAAGTGTCATAGGTAAGCATAACATGACATGACATAATAACAGAATTGGAAGGTCTTCTAGTCTAGTCCAACCCCCTGCTTAAGCAGGAAGCCATACACCATTTCAAACAAATGGCTGTTCAGTCTCTTCTTAAAAATCTCCACATTTCATTTACTTCATGTATCTTTACTGAAAATGGATGAATAATATAGATCCTCAAAATAATGAGCACATATTTTGTTTTCATTGGCAATGTCAAATCCTTGCCTCATACATTCTTCCCAAATTAGTAACATTTCAACAATGTTATTTTTTTTCTTAATCTGTAATTTTATAATGTATTGACTATTATACATATATAAACATGAATTATAATTTATTTTTGTTTAGAAGTTTATGCTTTCAGTGGATGTAATATATACATAAATAAAGCACTGTTCCCTATATTTTCCCAAAGCAAAGTCTACATTCACACATACCATCTTGAATTCTAACTTTCACATTTCTTATGGAAATCTATAGTTCAGGGATCTGCCACAAAGCATAAATTAGCAATAGGGCATCTGTTAACTTTCAAACCTGGCTTAAAAGTTTAGAAATATCTCTTGAGATTTCAAATATAAGACTTTGGCATTCTTACATTAGATCATACAAAATATTAAGTGAAATCAACTTCATGGGATATTTGATGAACTTGCCAAATTCTAGATATTTTTTTCAAAAAATATAGAGATTCCTATGCCATCGCAGAAAATTGTGCAATAAGTGTCTAGGACCTGAAAATATCTTGAATTCTTATTCTAATTGTTTATTGGGCTTCAAAGTATTATTTGAAATATAGTGGGGCAAGGGCAAGATTGTGGAAGACTGCCTTTCTGTGAGTTGAACTTTGCTGCATACAGAATGATTCCTTTGGGTTCAATCCAATATTCCATCTAGCTTTCTGTCTTACTAATTTCAATTTAAAATACAGAAGTTCCTTTGAGTTTTATATTCATGCATATAATGTTTTCCTTTAAATTTACTTTTCTCTGGCTGGATGCTCTATGTACAAGTATGTTTTCTACATTCTCCTTTAAATTTACTTTTCTCTGGCTTGATGCTATATGCCAATGGTGGCGAACCTACGGCACGAGTGCCAGAAGCGGCACTCAGAGCCCTCTCTGTGGGCATGCACGCCATCGCCCCAGCCTCGTGGCCCTCTCCTCACCACCAGCCCCCTAGAGGAGAGTTGCCCCTGGGTGCGGCCCATGCGGAGCAGCGAAGCCAAGCACATGGCAGCTGGGCGGCAGGGACAAGACTCCACCTTCACACCCCATTGCGTGCAGATGCTGCGGGGTGCAGGTGGAGGGCATGACCATCATGGTGCTGCAGGGCCGCTTGGGCAATCGGCTGCAGTGGGCCATGGAGGCGATGGGTGGCCCTGCGGGTGGGCGTGAAGCAGGGCGGGGCCGGACCGGGCATTTTTTTGGGCACTCGGTCTCTAAAAGGTTCGCTATCACTGCTATATGCACAAGTACATTTTCTATGATGGATTCCTTTTGTTCTGTTCAGGTACTCCAGAATTTATGGCCCCAGAAATGTATGAAGAACACTATGATGAATCAGTGGATGTATATGCTTTTGGAATGTGTATGTTGGAAATGGCTACCTCAGAATATCCATATTCAGAATGCCAGAATGCTGCTCAGATTTATAGGAAAGTAACTTCTGTAAGTGATATTTTAATATAATCATTTTGCTCTTTCATATACACTGTTTTTTCTTATTTTAACACTTTAAGCACTGTTATACTATTATATAACACCATATAATTTTAATAACAGTATTGTTGAATAATTCTTAAATTCTCAACCTCATGATATGTTGAATACCTCATTCTTATTTAGGTCTTTATATTTTCTGGCAAGAAGAAATGATTTCTTATTAAGACTAGGGTTGTGGTAATTCTACATATCCTCTCCTTTGTCATACCCCATCCCAGCCAGTTTCATCAAAATGTAGAAATGACATCAATGTTTTTCAGATTTGCTCAGTTTCTCATTTTACTAATAACATGTTTTGTTACTTGTTTCAATGCTAATTTATGAAATTTCTACATGCAAGCTGTTTCTACTTCTTTAATATTTATTTTTGTATATTTTTAAAATTTCGAACTGCATAATAATATTTCTAATAGTTAAGAATGTGGCACAAACTGATTATATATTATATTTGGAAAAGAAAATTGGGGGGGGGGAGGGACCATCTATGATGCAGAACAAATTCTACCCTCCAGGCACTAATTTTATTCCTTGAGAATGCCTCTGTGAATACTGTACAGAATTCTGGCATTTCCTAAAAATATATTGAGATATACCCAATAAACTCAGTATGATATAAAGATAGAGCAATTCCATCTTAGTTTGTCACTAGAAGATTGTGTACATGTATGATTTGTGTCTATTTTATATATTGTTTCTTGTGGAAGCTTACTTGTACGTATACTTACAATGATTAATGGATATGGTTGTATGCATTTATTTATTTTTATATCTTTATTGCTTTTATAAATAACTTAAGGTAGCAAACATGCTCCTTTTTCCTCTTATTTTCCCCAACAGCTATAACTCTGTGAGGTGAGTTGGGCTGAAAGAGAGAGAGAAAAATTATGCTTGAGGCAGGACTAGAACTCAAAGTCTCCTGGTTTCTAGCTTGGTACCTTAACCTCTAGACCAAACTGGCTCTATGCATTTGTATGAATCCCTGTCAATTTGATTTTACCTATAATATCACTTACAGCTCTGTGCATTATTCTGGTTCCACATAACATTGGCCCATCTATTTTCTTTTGTTCAGCTACAGTTGTCACTAAGCATCTTTGATATTGATCTGGCATGTGAACTCATGGGGCTGACTTTGTTCTTTTATCTTGGTGTGTTCTTGATATTAAACTGAATGAATTGTATTCAGGCTATTTTTAGCTCATGAAATCAGGATTGATTTTACCACTGATTTTAGTGGAACTAGCTTATTTGGGATCAATTCAATTATATTAAACACGAATATATAAAGAGTGGTGGAAAAAATTCATATAGATTATTCTGCAAATAATACTATGTGCTTCTGTATATATACACAGATCTTTTTACTTTGTTTTCAGAGGGAAAAGGAAATATTGGAACTAAACTGTACTGTCAGGTTTAAGATCAAACATGAATTGTGGAATCTGTATATTTTTCAGTCAGTGGAAAACTGAAACTTATGTGAATTCATACACTATTTAAAGTACAAGCTCTTACAGCTCAGTTCTTTGTTTTTATTTATGCTAAGATTACATTTGTCATAGATTGCATATTTATTGTGTCATTTGTTTTTGGATGTTGACATAGCAAAGTGCATGAGAAAACTTCTTTCAGAGGCTGGTTGGGACAGAAAATGGCCTCAGTGGAAGGGGTTAAACTTTGTAAACTTTGTAAAATACAATTATAGCTATTTATTGCTTTTCCTTTTTTTTAAAAAAAAGGACATCAGGAGACCGTCATAGATGTCTTTCCACAAACACTTAATTGGATCTTTTAGCTTGCCCACATCTGAAATAGAGTGATGATAATAATATTTGTTTGTTATACTAGTCTAATGTAAGGGTTACCGAAGAAATGGATTACTAATTCATTCAGAAGAAACCCATTCAGCAGCATTCAGAGGGAATTAAAAAATATCAAGATGCGTCTAAAGCAGGCACAAGGCTTTGAATTCATAATTGCATTAATACTTTTTGGACACCTTTCCCCTTTTCCCCAAGAGGCTCTTATTTATTTGCAGCAGCAGAACACAATCCTCTTCTCTCTAAAGTCCAGGCACAACCTCAACATTGCTTTGCAAATTTGAGGGACCTTGTCGAGGAGATTATAGAGACAAGCTGCAGAACAAGAAGAAAAAAATCTTGCTTTGTATGTCCCTTACAAAAAAAATTGGCCATTGTCCTTACATTGTAGGAAAAATGCACTACAAACATTCCAATTATTCTGTTTCTTTTTCAACAAAGTCTTTGTCTAGTTGGTACATTTTGTTAATAGTTTTTAGCTATGTTTGTGCCTGATTCTTATTTAATTTCTTTTGTAAATAGCCTAGAATGGAACTCTTTCATTAAATGATTAAATCCCCAGGAAACAAATAAGCTTTCCAAGTTTAAAATAACTATCCTATGCCTGTCCTTTCATGCACTAAAACTCTTAATCATAAATTCAGTGTTCTTTGGGGAAAGTACTGTTATTTTATTAAAGTCAGTTTATGTAATAAAGTATCATGTGATATGGGACATACAGTATTTCCCAAGCTTGATTATCAGAACTGTTCATGCATGTACATGTTTTGCTTTCCTACAAGGTTAGTGGGGAAAGGCACAAAGCTCCACCTGACCAATCATGTTACATAAGCACAGTTTGCATCAACTATTTTGTAAGAAATTGTGTTAAATCCTTAATATGTACAAATATTAATTTACATCATTCGTATGTATTACTATAGTTGCTTTAAAAAGGTAATCAAGGAGACTTAAGAAGATTGGTATAGACCAGCAGTTCCCCTAGAATGCTTCTGATATATTCTTGCACCCTTTACAAAAGTACTAAGCTTATTTAAACAAATTTTAAATGATGTGAACATAAAAAATAATTTTGAAACTTCTAAACCCAAGTTTTCGCACCCCCTGGAATATTGTCTCCCACCCCCAGGGGGTGCGAGCACCCCCAGTTGGGAACCCCTGGTATAGACAGTTCAGAATGATGAAGTTTTCTGGAAGAGTTTAACCGGACTAATTAAAAAGAATTTATGTCTTATCCAATTGATTAAGTTATAGTAATAATTTAATCAATTCATATGCCTCCTAAAGATCAGTATGAGAGCCAAATAAACCGGGAGACTATGTGTTCTAGACTCACCTTGGGCACAAAGCCAGCTGGGTGACCTTGGACGAGTCACTTTTCTCAGCCCTAGAAAAATGACAATGGCAAACTATTTTTGAAAAACCTTGCCAAGAAAACTCCAAGGACTTGTCCAGGCAGTTTCTGAGAATCAAACACAATTGAATAGAAGTAAATAAAAAGCTCAATATAGGTGTCTTATTGAGGGGATTAAAAAATTATAACCACACTGAGCAAAAAATAAACATTTTTCTTTCCTATTGTAGCAACAGATAGGATTCAAAACATCTTCCAGAATTGTGACCTTGTCATTTTAGTGACCTCCTATTACATCTAATTGGCCAACTGATTGTTCAATTTCTTTATGACATTTGCTCAAATGTACTGTCTGTTGTACTGCCAGAAATACATCAGTGGAAGACACCCTGAAAAACCAAATGCTAATCTCTATCGTCTAGCTTCTCTGGATGGCTTTATCAGTTTATCTAAAATAAATACATCTTCCCACAATTATTTATGTAGCATGGATTACCTTTTGCTGCTTAACACTCCATTAAATGAATAATTTGTACAATTCTTTTCCATTGGTGCGCAGGTTAAAATGGTGCCATAGTTCTTGGATTTTTTTTTTTAAATCAAGCTGCAATTTAACTTGGCTGAAAGCATAATGAATTGTTCCTCTTTGGTAAAATAAGATATATTTAACCTAAAATAGTGCAAGGCAGAGACAATCTTTTTGGCAACTATTTCGTGCGATTTTTTCCCCCATGCCTCAATCACTCATACTTCAAGGTATTTTGTGGTATGTATAGATGAGAAATCTTAAGCATAGATGGCACCAACTGAAGTGATGCCTCAAATAGACCTTGAATAGCAGTCACCTCCATGCCTGCTTTCTATTTCAATTTCTTTACCTCACTAGAAAAGGTTCCTTTTTCATATTCATCATACATAAAAATGTTGCCTTAAATATCTATTTCCTCTTGGGATTTAACATTTGCTATTGAGAATCCTTAAAGTTCACATCTTGTAACTGTCAGCAGGTGAAAATCTTTTTCTAAGACATTCACAAACTTCAATTAGAGGTGTACTCTGAAAAGAAAACTTGGTTTCCTTACAGAGTTTCTTTTCCCTTTTTTGCAGAATATAAATCTGTAAGGATTATCTTTAAATTTGCGGCAAAACCATAAGAGACACTTTAATTATTTTACAATATCTATTCTTTATTTTAAAGTGGAACAGTATCAAAATATTATAAAAACCCATTAGCTAATTAGGAAAGCTGCTCTGATTTCTGGAAAGTTGAGGTATAATTAAAATAAACAAATAGTTAAGTGATAAATTAATTTGTTACAGTTTAAACAACACTTCTTTTAAAAAAAGAAAAAGCAAAAAACCTTGATGTTGATCTTTTAGGTTTCTGGAACATAATCCCAGAAGCCTAGGATAGTTCATTTTTCCCCTTCCAATGCCTTTAATATTAAAATTCATAATAAAAGTTAATGCTGAATTTAGCTTTGTTATAGCATATATAATGGTCTATTGTATATTATATTACATAAGAGTCCTAATTTAAACTCAAAGCTGTGTAGATCTAGAATGAAAACGCCAGAGAAATTTAATTATGTTTTTTTTTCCTCACGCAGGGTGTCAAACCAGCAAGTTTTGATAAAGTTACTGATCCTGAAATTAAGGAGATAATTGGAGAGTGTATTTGCAAAAATAAGGAGGAGAGGTTTGTTTCAAATAGTAAATTTCTGTTGTTTGTGAAACATGTCATAACCTGAGCACATTTCAAAATAATTTCTTGGAGTGGAGGCAGAAAACGGCCAAGAGCTGGCTAGTACCATTCTAAACTGATAGACCTACTATAATCTAATCATGTAGATCTCTTAGGAGAATTACTAGCCAGATAGAAACTAATATGGTTACTATGTGGACATGGATCAGTACCATTTGGAATCTGGTTAGTGTGACTATATTCCTGTGAATTTTGAGGACTTCTCAGCAAATTTTAATACTTTCAGTCAGAATGTCCTTCTGGACTATATATCTATAACAGAGCAGTATGAGACTTTCTTCAAGTATTTATTTTATATTTTTATTCTTACTTATAAAATTTATAACAGCGCCCATCTCACCTGAAATCTGGGTGATTTACAAATAAAAGTCATATAAAAAGAGATAGAGTTAGAAGCAAAGTTTTAAAAAACAGAATTAAAATAAAGATTAAAAGGCCAAAAAGGCAAGGGGGTGTTTTCTAGCCACCAACCATCACCATGGTTGCATACCACCCTTGGAGTACCCTCACTTCTGGGGACAAGATGTTTCATAGGGCAGGAACAACAAGAAGACTCTCATTGTAGACCCTGCCAGTCAAAATTCTTTAATTGATGGGGTCTGCAACAAACCTTCTGCCTGACTTGATGGGACAGGTTGATATTATTGGGTCAGGATGGTTCCTCAGGTAACCAGGTCCACACTGTGAAGGGCTTTAAAAGTAATAATCAACACCTTGAATTTGACCAGGAAATAAACTGACACCCAATGCAGCTCACATAATAGAGGTGTTACATGCACAGCCCTAGGGGTGCCCAGAACTGCCCATGCTGCTGCATCAACTACAGCTTCTAGATACTATTCAAGGGTGGCACATCGTACAGCACATTGCAGTAATCCATACAGAAGGTGACTAAGGCATGAGGGATCAAAAGGAGGGCTTTTCAATCCAGGTAAGTTCCAGAAAATGGTACATGGAGATTTATATTTGACAAGTAGCTGTTGGATGCAGTATCTCATAAGACTCTGTCTTAATCCTTCTCCACATTTTAAACCTTACATTTGTTTATTTAATTAAACCTAGTGGAAAAAGAAAAAATATGAAAAAGAAAAATCCCACAAAATTATATATATGTGAGTTTCCTTTACAAGTTTTACACAACAGATTCAATAAAAAGATGCTTAACCACAGATGGCAAATTGATGCCATCATTATGTTGGTGATATCCAGCTTTATTCTTTTCCATCAGATTTCAGAGAGATTGTAGAAATCCTAAATCAATACTTAGGATTTTTAAAAGATTAATTGAAGACTAACAACTGAAAGCTCAGACTGTATTGACTAAGGGATTGCCTAGTCAAATGAAAATATTGCATTACTGACAGTTTTGTCTGGAGCGTGACATTTTAAAAGTCAGCCTGACAGCTCTAATGTTCTTGATTTGACTTTCACCTAAATGTTAGGTAATAGCTGCAGCTAGGAGCACACCATCCCGCTGCACATGTTCCTAAAGAAAGCAGATCAGGCAGCAGAGGTGCATGGTTTAGTTATTTTTCATTTGGATTCTAGAAGAATTTACATGGATTCATCTTTTAAAAAAATAGCACAAATTACATCTGACTGGTTTTTGGCTTGTTTATCTATTCCCATTGATGGGTAGAACCAATAAAAAAAAGAAATGTATAGTATGTATAAATATGCTAAGGGAAAAAAAGGAGAGGAGCAAAGTATCTAAAAAGTATAAACTGGGTCTGATATGGTTCAGATAAATACCTTTTTCAAGGGCATTGTATAAAACAAACACAGAAACTTGAAAAGGTGTAGTAAGTGTTTTAACTCTCTGTTAGCCACAAGTGGCAAATGGGCAGCCATTGAAATTGAAATAAAGAACTAATAAAAATAAACAAATGGTGTGGTGCTTATTATGTCACACATTTGGCAGTTGCTATAGAAACACTTGTTATTTTGCTACAGTGGTTTAAAACCCTTTGTGTTAAATATTATAGATATTGAAAGCAAATTTTGCTTTCATTAAAACTTAGAAAGACATATAGTGCCAAGGAAGTTCTAATACATATACGTATGTAATGCTAAAATATCACACAGCTATTTGGTCCTTAAAGTATAGAGGAGAAAAATGGACTTAAAATGTGTTTGTGTTCTTTTTTTCCCCAGATATGAAATTAAAGATTTATTAAGCCATGCCTTCTTTGCTGAGGATACAGGGGTGAGAGTGGAACTTGCAGAAGAAGACGATGGTAGAAAATCCTCTATTGCCTTAAGACTCTGGGTCGAAGATGCTAAGAAGCTGAAAGGGAAATCCAAAGATAATGGAGCCATTGAGTTTACTTTTGAACTGGAGAAAGAAACTCCTGATGATGTTGCACAAGAAATGGTAAAATAAAAACTTCCTTTGTCTGTCTGTCTGTCTGTCTGTCTGTCTGTCTGTCTGTCTGTCTGTCTGTCTGTCTCTCTCTCTCTCTCTCTCTCTCTCTCTCGCTTTCTCTCCTCTCTCCTCTCTCTCTCTCTCTTCTCTCTCTTTTTCTCTCCTCTCTCTCTCTCACATAAATCTCAGTTGCAGTTGTTAAGTTAATAACATGGTTGCTAAGTGAATCCCATTGACTTTGCTTGTCAGAAGGTCGCAAAAGCTGAACACATGACCCTGGGACACTGGGACTGTCATAAATATGAACTAGTCACCAAGCATCCAAATTTTGATCATGTGACTATGGGGATGCTGCAAGGATTGTAAGTGTGAAAACTGGACATAAGTTACTTTTTTCAGCGCTGTTGTAACTTTGAACAGTCACTAAGTGAACTATTGTAAGTAGGTCGAGGACAATCTGTACAATCTTATAAGTAACCCTGCCCTGTGGCATGTAGGGCTTTGTGTAGCTTGCAGAGTAATGATGTCACACCAGGTAGCTAATGCCATTAACTGCCTGCATTCTCTCATTCTGCACAAGCTTTAACTTCCGAATGTTCTTCAGGGCGAGTCTCACATAGAGCCCGTTGCAGCTGTCCAAACAGGAGATCAAAAGAATGGCTCTGAACAGGGTTCTTTGATTCAAGAACAGGCACAACTGACACACAACTCCAAGCTGTGCAAAGATCCTGCTAGCCACATAGTTGATCTGCTCCTTGAGCAGGAGTTGAAAGTCCAGAAATATGATTAGATGGTGCACTAAGGCTGGGCCACTTCCTCCAGAACCAAAACTGGAAGTTTCTGTGTATTGCAGGGTGTGCGTGCGTGTGTGTGGCAGCTAGCCCAACCAGAGTCAAGAAATTCAAACAGGGAGTTTGCTATGCAGTAGAGAAGCTGGTACAATAGCAACAGATCCAATTAAACCTTACAGCCCAATTAACAAACAGGATCTTTCATCCAGTAATCTATGGATAGCAATAGCAGATAGACTTATACACCACCCTATAGTGCTTTACAGCCCTGTCTAGGCAGTTCATAGAGTCAGCATATTGCACCCAACAGTCTGGGTCCTCATTTTATCGACCTCTGCATAATGGAAGGCTGAGTCAACCGTGAGCTGGTCAGAATTAAACTCCAGGCTGTGGCCTGCAATACTGCCAGGGTATTTGGATTTAGCTGCCTATCGTTTTGGAAAACTGAATTTAAATGCTTGAAATATAGTATGGGAGCTTCTTCCTGAAAAATTACTTTTCTCATATTGCATTGCAAATGGGAAATTTCTTATTTGGTTTATTCGTGAAGCAGACAATGAGATTATATGATTTTGATGCCAATTATGACTGGTTGTAATTATTCCTAAAAAATGCCCCCCTCCCTTTACCATCGGTTACAGTTGGATTAAAAAATATCCCCACTACAAATTTATTTTGTATGAAGTTCTATGAATATTTAAATTATAATAGCTCCAATAGTGATATAGACAATAGCCATTTGTAGCCAATGATGATCAATAAAAATATTTATGACAATTGATCATAGTTTTGCAATTGCTTCTTTGCTTTATAAAAAAAATGTTTCAGATACAACTTGTACTCTTTTTGAAAATAATTTTATGAATGAAAACCTTGGACCTCTAGCTATTATATGCAATTCTAAATGATACTTCTGCAAACTAATCAGCCACACACATACAAAACCTCAGACTGGTGATTTAGAATCTAACTCTCTATTCAATTACTAAAACTGGATGATAAGACAGGGGTGTCAAACTGCCGGCCCATGGGCTGGATGCGTCATGCTGAAACCGCGCCCACCCCAGCTCTGGCAATGGGAAAAAAGTTGTGATACATCGTGACACGTCACGTGACGTGGCGAGTTTGACACCCCTGGAATAGGGAGTGGGTATGTGGGGCTCCATGATGTGAAAACACAGACAAATATGGATTTGTTGTTGAAAACCTTTTATTTCAGGTTGATGCTGGATTCTTTCATGAAAGTGATGTCAAAATAATTGCAAAATCAATACGTGACAGAGTAGCCTTAATACAGTGGAGAAGAGAGAGGATATGCCCCATGTTGCATTCAGAAGATCATCGGGATCCTGAAAGCTTAGAAAAAATGAAGGTCACACAAGCACAACCACTTCAGATTACACACACTTCTCATGCTGGTCATCAGATTCCATCAGAACCAGATGAGCCTGAAGTGGACCAGCATCTTTCTCAACAAAATCTGCCCACAAGCATCACTTCACTTGCATGTAAGTCTAGTATGTGTTCTGTGTTGGTATATAAGGATGTAGTACAAATACACTGAATGGATGTCACTGGCCATGTTTGTGCACTGCAGTAAGCCAAAACTCTTCAGGATTCTGGTTTAGCAGGAATAATAAGTACGCTAATATAGACTCTTTAATAGCTCCTGCTACTCTGGCTGAAGAGGATAATTATCAAACATGAAGTATTCCATACCTAGTTTGCTTAATATGTGATCTGAATTAGCATCTCTCTTTTTATTGGTCTAACCAGTTGGAACTGAACATGCCTAAGCTTCTTCCTACTATGTTAAAATTCTGAAGAATTCTAACTCTGATGGACTGATGCAGCCAGGACTTTGGTTGCATGGACTTTGACAAGAACAAATAAATATATGCTAAAAATATGCAAGAACAATAAATATCTACTAAGTTATCAATAAACAGTTTCCGTCTTACTATGATTAAGATTGTACATAATTGAATTTGTATTGTTCAACAAATTTAAAGCAGGGAGGAAGTGAATTCCCCTGGGATTTGAGGGGAAATGTTACCTTACCTTGTCATTTTACAAAGTAAAGGCTCTCCTCCCTTCTTATAGCAACCATGTGATCATACCATTGTAAGAAGGGGAACACAGAGGAAGTGCCCTCATGTGGTGGTGGTTAAAAAAGACCATCAACCATTCTCTGACACATTAATATAGCCAACCCTTTGAACTGTATTGAATTTTCCTTCTAAAACAAGCTAATTATGCCCACTCTAGTGTTGGTACGATTGCTCGCAGTATATGAAAGTGAGCCAACATGTACTTTGACTCAGGAAATACTGTTCTAGGTTTAGTCAAGATAATAATTACAATTTTCTTATATTAGTGAAAATATTTAAAGATTCTGGAACTGCTGCTTGAAGACCTACATATATTTAATTACATTAGATAAGAATTAAAATCTCTCCTTCACAGTGCAGAAACATTTTAAAAATAATCTTTTTTCTGAGTTGCTACTCTCAATTAGTTCTTTCAGTACTGTAAATTATTGGCATCATATGTTGTGCCAGTGCTTGCACAATGTTTTTAAGTCTAAAAGCCCTATAAATAATTTCCTTGATGCTGCTGGTGATATTCAAATACAGCAGAAATGTACATAAATAATTTAGCATCTGTGTACAACAGATGATAACAGAATCCAAGTTTGGCTTCCAACTGCTGCTTCAGCTTTGTAGAGTTGTCTTCATTTTTGTGGTTAGATGGTTCCTATAATTAGATTATATTTTCCTATTCTATAAACGTCTCTACATTATTAAGTATCCAAAAAAGCTCCATAAACTTAGATAAGTAAAATTGAAAGGAGTTATTGTTTTATAAATTTGGAAAGACGGGTGAATTCTCATCTGCGAAGGATTGATTGAAAAATCCAGAAATGAGGCTTCCAAACACAGACAAAATTAACTGTCCCAATATGTATACAAAACCCACACACAACACATTTTTAATATTCTTAAATAACAGCAGCAGGAAGCAGTATGCATTTTTGCATACATATTGGGAAAGTTAATTTCATCTGTGTTCGAAAGCCTCATATTTGGATTTTTCAACCAATCCTTCACTGATGAAAATACATCTAGTTATATTTTTTATGACATCATTTGTTATTGTATAGAAACAGGTATGTCTAAATTATTTCATTTGGTATAATTTGGGGGATACACTTATCATTTAACCTTACTAGAAGTATACAATATTAAAAAATAGTTTATTTATATACTTCAGCAAACTCGGATATTATTGCCAGTGACATTTTTTTTAATGTGAGCTATTTCCAGTGGTCCTGTGGTGCTTCATTATTCTCTCTGGAAGGAAAGCAAAAATATACAGAATCGCAACTAATTCATGCTGACTGCCCCCCCTGCCCAAAGGAGTGTATCCTGCTGGAGGTGGTTGAGAGAAGATCCCACCTGTCTCTCTGAACATCCTTTTCCCTTCTTCCCCATCTTTTTAATTGTAATTTTTACTGTTATTAGAAATATTTATTTTTGTGTTTTTATTGACTTTAGGCGAAATGGGTGGCCAACAAATCTAATAAATAAATAAAATAAATTAATAACTCAGATACTACTATAATATAAAGACCTGGCAATATCAGCCTGAACAGCACTTTGAAACTCACTAACAAATATTTGGTAGACATATTACAGGTAGTCCTCGACTTACAAGCTCAATTGACCTCAGAATTTATGTTGCTAAGCGAGAAATTTGTCAAGTGAATTTTGTCCCATTCTACGACTTTTCTTGCCACACTTGTTAAGTGAATCATTGCAGTTGTTAAATTAGTAACACGGTTGTTAAGTGATTCTTGCTTCCCCATTGACTTTGTTTGACAGAAGGTTGCACATGACTCTGGGACACTGCGGCCGTCATAAATATGAAGCAGTTGCCAAGCATCTGAATTTTAATCACATGACCATGAGGCTGCCACAGTCATAAGTGTAAAAATTGGTCATGAGTCACTTTTTTCAGTGCCGTTGCAACTTCAAAAAGTCACTAAACAAGCTGTTGTAAGTCGAGATTACCTGTACAGCAGGGGTCTTCAAACTTGGCCCTTTTATGACTTGTGGACTTCAACTCCCAGAATTCCTCAGCCAGCGTGCCTGGCTGAGGAATTCTGGGAGTTGAAGTCCACAAGTCATAAAAGGGCCAAATTTGAAGACCCCTGCTGTACAGCAATGTTACTTTTTGTGTGTGCATGTCTTTGAGTCAGTGTTAATTCCTGGAGACTGTCTGGACTAATCCCTGCAGGTTTTTTGACAATGCAATCCCTGCAGTTTTTGGGAAATGGCCTTTGCCTTCTTTCTAGGGTAAGAGAGAGTGACTGGCTCAAGGTTACTCAGCTGACTGTGTGCCTAAGGTGGAACTACAACTCACAGACTTTCTTCTGGTTTCCAACCTGCTGCCTTAACCCCTACGCCAAGCAGGCTCTCAATATTACATTTACCTATGAAAATTTAGACTGTTGGTTAGACTGCAGACTATGACAAATTCTTACAAAAATTTTGAACGTTTGTAGAAAGAAATGTAGACAGCCAATTTTTCAAAATTTCTCCAGTCAGTCGTGTCTGCATTTTATATATTCCCCACAGACTCACGTCCCACGTCCCAATTTAGATATAATTGGGAACAACTCATTTCTAGTTTATGGATTTGGTTTAGTTACTTTTGTTTCAACCTTTGAAATTTAACACTTAAACAGAAAAAAAAAATCCTGTGGTTTTAAATCTGGTCAGAAAGTGAAGTGAATCCCCTGCCAGTCCATTCCAAGGGTTGCTAAGTGGTTTCAATTACACAAAATCCCAATTCCTTCCTGCAGCCATATCGAAGTGTTATGTAAATCTCTATCAATCTCTAATTTTGATGGTAGAAAAATAAGGGTACCCCCCCCCCTGCATCATGCACCAGATCTGATTCATTATTGATTCAGATTGACTGACTTCTGGAGTATCCTGAACTATACTATATGCTATTTCCAAAGCTCCAAATTAAGATCTCAAGTAAGATCAGATAGCCTTTGCACAATACGAATAATACTTTGATTGCTTTCAGTTTATGAAACCATTCAATTTTTTTAAAAAAAATCAATATTAACAATGTTTCAGCTGATAGCACATTTGACAGTGGTCAAGGATCAACTGTGTACTCAGACTCCCAGAGTAGCCAGCAAAGTGTGATCTACTCATCTATTCCTGATGCAATACCTCCAGCTGTTCAGCGTGTTTATAGCCCACCTCTCAGTGAGAGCCAGACTTTGCCACATGGTCTTCAGCAGATAGGGCCCTACCAGCAACCCTCAATAGTAAGTATGGTCTTCTTCAATTTTCACATATGAATTTTAAAAAATGATTAAATAATTGCATAACCTCAAAAGTCTGTACAGCTAACCATTTTTCTTAGTCGTGTTCATACAGTACATATAAATGGAGTCACATATCCTATCTCCTATGTTTGTTTACTTACTATTTTATTTAATATGAAGCAAAAAGGGTGGACAATCTATTGCCTGGACATTTTTATTTTAATGGATATTGTCATAGCAATATATCTACTCAGTTAATCTGAATTATTAATATTAATTACTTTACTAAATAGCTTGAACAGCTATATACTGACAGAATGATAAGGTATGCTATTGAGAGTTTTTATAGACAATAGTTTTCTAAAGTAATGTCTTCCTACCTTCCTTCCCAGCCTGGACTTTCAGTGGTTCAGGGTCCAACTGCTGTTGTGCCTCTGAGGCCACAACTTTATCCAGAACCAGCAATTCCAATTCCATTTCCCACCTCAGTTGCCCCTGTGCAGATGAGACAACCTCAACCTGTATTAGTCAGCCAGCAGGTAAGAAATGACATATTCTGCCTTTCTCTTCCCCCTCCCCCTCCATATCTTCAAAATACACTCATGGCAACCGTCCTGCGGGGTTTTGGCAAGATTTTCAAAACTAGTTTGCTATTACTTCCTTCCTAGGGCTAAGAGAGAGTGTTTGGTCCATGGTCAACTAGAGACTTCATGTCTTAGGCAGAACTCACATTCTTCAGGTTTCTAGCCTGTTGCCTTATCTGGGCTCTCTTTTTGCCTATTAAGCTTAAAACCATTATGTAACTTGCATTATAGGCTTGACTGTCTATTTTATACTGTAATGGAAGGTTTCTTAGCAAATTTTAAGTGCAGCAATAGATTAATGAGTAAATTAAGAAGTAGGACAGCAGTAGCATCTGTAATGAAATATCAAAACAAGAAGGCAGTTGTGGTAGTATAACTGAAGCCCTACTCCTTTTGTATTTTAATTGACATTACACACATGTACAAAGGGCAGAGCTTTGATTGTGCTGCCACAACCATCAGCAGGACTTTTAAAATCTCACCTATGGATGCTTTTGCAACAAAGAGAGAAAGCTTTAATTTCTTCCTTTACCCTATAGCAAACTCAAGATTAATTCTTGACCTCTTTTAAGTTTGTTTCTCAGAGTAGAAGAGATTGACCTCATTATTTGGACTTTTAAAAATATTATTTCTAATATACATTTTCTTGGCCTGATGGCTTTATCATTTTCTTTGGCCACTCTTTCTTCAAACAAACAAACAAATAAATAAATAAAATTTATTGGGCTAATTTCACTAGTAGTTGAAAATGATCATGAGAAAGGGAGAAGTATCTAGCCATGGACATATCATTATTTCCAGACAATATTTAGTTTGAGTTTGGGCATACGTTTGCATAAGTAAATGTATCCAAATCAGCTTTGGAACAATTTGTTTATTTATTCATTTATTTGACTTGTATGCCACCCATTTGAGCAGCTTACAAACACACTAAAAGCCAGTAAGATATTAAAATAATACATAACAATAATAAATAACAAACAGTTGGAATATTGTATTGCAATTTGATGTTGATTTGTTTGGCTTTTTTGTGAAACTGGTAATCATAGTTTGCCAATTCAGAAATGGGAACCATGATTATGATTATACCAAGACATAAAAACTGGAACCAATATTTTTTCAGAATACAGCAGAAAAATGGAATTGCATACATATACTGTACTGTAAAGCCTCTCACCATGGCTTTAGACTGTTTATTTTGTAGATTTTCAATCTATTAACTATATTTTTAAAAAGCAGGTTTGTTGTTTGTTTCTTGTTCGCCTATGACTGCTTCTCCAATCTATGCTGATACCACTTCAAAAACTTATATGATCTTTTTTTAAATTTCATCAGCCATCCATCTCAAGCCCAGCTTCTTTACAGCAAGTTCTCAGCAACCAGCCCATGTGCTCAGTACAGCAACCTGCACCTCACCTGTTGTCCCAGTTTCAAACACCCGGTTCTCACATGGCAGCTACCAGTGCACCACTGGCACCTCTGCAGGTCCCCCCTGTGCAGTTGCTTCCCCCAGTTCCTCCTGGTCAAGTAAGTCTGTTGTTGCACTCAATAAGGTTCCTCATTTTGGTGTGAAGACTCCATAGTGCTAGAAACATGGAAGTGTTTTCATGTATCAATTGACTTTTGTTGTAACATTGAATTATATAAAAAAAATCTAGCTATTTATTACTTAGTGCCATAATAAATTAAAAAATAAAATAAAAAATTCAGAAAAGTTAATCAATGTGCCACTGGGTCAAAGCAGCCCAGCTCTTGGAATTTCTTCAAAATGGACCAATTAGATGAGGAACCAATCAAGAACCAACTTACTTGGCCTTCCATAATGTGGACCAACCAGAGAGCAGCTTGCTAGATACACGCTAGATACATGAGCTAAATCTGCCTCAGTGCTAAGAGGTACATCACAAACGAGGCTCTGAAGATGCTAACCACAGCTGCTGGTGAAATGCTAGAACAAAATAAAACTCGATCATGACCATTCAGCCTGAAAACCTCATCATTCCTTCTTTGATGCCAGCCATGAAGGCCTACGCCAGTATATCATGTATGACTTCCTGATGTTAGCACCAAAAAGACAGCCATATGAATATGAGAACTATGTCATTTACACAGTATAATAATTTGATGAACATTTTAAAAAATGACAAATGGAAAAGAAAAATAAATTTTAATTTTAAAAGGGGGAAAGAATATGCCCTGCTGACATAAAGTGGATAGATAGGGAATTTCTCTGTATAATTAGTGCTTATATAAACAAAACATGCATTTTTTTTAAGATATTGGAAACTTCAGCCTTTGGTTCAAATCATAATTTGAGTACAAAAGCATAATAAGCTCATTCAACATATTGTTAAATTGTGAAATGAGTGGTCTAGTATTTCATTTGAACTAGATCACAGTTATTTATTTAGCCCTATCACTTATAATCGTTGTCAGAATATTCACACAATTTGCTTGGAGTGTAGTATATTCATTTATTTAGGTGGTTACCACATTTTTTTTAAAACAAATTCTCATGCAATAAAAAAAAACCTATAAGACCATAAAACATTTCGACCATATTTCAAAAATGCCTCACAGTCTCATGACAACAATTGTTTATGACATATGAATAGCACCTAAATTCAACTGGATTCTAGCAATAACATACTACAGTAATATTTGTTTTGCCATTGAATCATGTCCGATTCTCAGAGACTACCAGGTCAAGTCCCTCCAGTTTTCTTGGCAAAGTGTCTCAGAAGTGGCTTGCCATTGCCTCCTTCTTAGGGCTGAGAGAAGGAGAACTGCCCTAATGTACCCAGTTGGCTTTGTGCCTAAGGCGGGACTAGAACTCACAATTGCCTGGTTTATAGCCAAGTGCATTAATCATATACCAAACTAGTAATAATAATATCTTATAATAATAACAACATAATGAAAATATGAGCAGTGTGATGGCCCAATGATCAAGATACTCGCCTCCCACTTGGAAATTGAGAGTTCAGTCCTAGGTAGCAGCAGATGTTTCCCTCCCTATCTGCTGCAAACTCTTAACTAGGCATCAGGAAAGGCATCCAGCCAGTAAATGCTCAGCTCCATCCAGTCACCCTGGCTCTATCCCAGATTAAGGGTATAAGGACCATAAAAAGGGAAAATTAATAATAAAATAAAAATGACTTTAGCATCAGTATCCTTTCTTAACTTCAGGTAGGCTGGAATACCCAAGTAGATATTCTCAGACTGCCTAGAGCAGGCAAGCAAACTTTATCAGGAAAAGCACTCTTTTAAAAACCCAACCCCAAGTCATTAAAGCTAGCATTTTAAATTGCACTCAGAAACATGCTGGTAACCAGGGCAGCAACAATATCCAGTGGCAGTATCAAGACTAATCCACAAGCATTAAACATGTTGATGTTTTTGTGTGGTCTTCAAACACAGTCCCATATAAAATAACTTTCAGTAATCTAAAGGAGATTATTGCATTTTATTACTGCATTTTACTCCATGCATTTTATGCCAGGTAAGTGTGCAAGTGGAACAGCTAAAACTGAGAAAAGGTCATCTTATCCACATCCTCACATGCCCGGACCCCGGGACATAATATCTGGCTCATCCATTTTGCTCAGGTGGAAGACGTGCAACTTTGTATCATGTTATCCAAACTGATAGATATTTCTCTCAGGGGATTTATATAGATGTTGAACAGGAGAGGGGAGAGGACTGCTAGTCCTGCAGCACACCGTAATGAAACATTTGAGAGCCAGAACTTTCCCCATCTATCACCACAATTCTGACATTCATATCCTGCCTAGATAAACCTTGTCCAAAATCAAGGCTATTAAAAGATCTGGGAAAACAATGACAGTTGCATTTGCTCCGTCCAAACCCCACCTCAAGTTATCCCTGACAGCAACCAGTGTGTTTTTTTGTTTCATGCTGAGCTTGAATGTGGACTGACATTGCTTCAGATAATTTGTGTTCTCTTTAACTGCAGCCCCATCGCTTTTTTCACAACCTTCCCAAAGAAGGAAAAAGAACTTTCCTTTTAAGGAATGGATGGATCAGCATCTCTTTAAACAGTGCTGAATTTTCTTCTTCACTGGCACATGCCTGGTCTGCCCCTCATCCACAATTAAATCATATATGAGGCTAAATTTATTGTCGGCTGACATTTAGAACCATCAATATGAGCCCACAATGCCCAGTCATGCATTTGTCTGTTCATGTGTCATGATTTCAGCATGGAAGTACAAATTTCCGATCCCTTTTCTTCTGGGGTGTCTCTTCCCGCACCCCCAATCTCTTATACTTTACTCTGCTTGGTCCTACTGATTTTCTCCCCTATCTCTGTCCCCCTTAGTCAGAATATCTCAACCTTAGCAATTTTAAGATGTGTGGGCATGCTGGTTAGGGAATTCTGGGAGCTGAAGTCTACACATCTTAAAAATGCCAAGCTTGAGAAACATAGCCCTCAGCTCCTACTCCAAACACTCAAATTGTGCAAAATAACCATCATGGGCAATCAAGTACAATAGATGGAAGCTGCACCCAATGCAATCATGCATTCCCATGCTTTACATTCCCCAGACTCTCTTCAACCCAGTTCTCTTTCCTTCCATCCTTACATGACCCTAGCTGGGTCAGAAGGTGATAAACATATTACCTCTTTTTCTCATTCTGGAAAGGGACTCTTCTCCCCCCCCCCCCCCCACTTCTTGACTCCCATTTAGAAAATCAGCAATCTTTTCTTTTCTCTTTGGTGGTTCTGTTTGTTTTCCAATATCTCCTCCACTACTTGGTGTAAGGAAATAGAACTCTAGTGGCCCATTTCAGTTGACACGGTTTCCTAAACAACCTTGCCATCTGGCGCATTTTTGGGCTTCTTCGTGCTTTTATCTTATTTCTTCAGTCTTCTGTTTTTAATATATTTTCCTCTACTATTTATTCCAGTTTTAATTCTACTTCTTTTGTTTTTCCTGAAAAACAATAGCTGGCAGATGAGGCTATAACAGTTTAATTATAGACTTGTAGTGCAATCTGGTATCAGATAAATAATAAGAGATAAAGCAGGATGTGTGATTCCTCTTCTTCTGCAATCCCTATTTGTTAAGTCCTTCCATATATTATGTAAAACCCAGAGTGACAATCCCAAGATAACAGAATAACAGAGTTGGAAGGGACTTGGAGGTCTTCTAGTTCAACCCCCCTGTTCAGACAGGAAACCCTATACCACTTCAGGCAAATGGCTGTCCAGTCTCTTCTTAAAAACTTCCAGTGTTGGAGCATTCACAACTTCTGGAGGCAGGTTGTTCCACTGATTAATTGTTCTAACTGTCAGGAAATTTCTCCTTAGTTCTAGGTTGCTTCTCTCCTTGATAAGTTTCCATCCATTGCTTCTTGTCCTGCCCTCAGATGCTTTTGGAGAATAGCTTGACTCCCTCTTCTTTGTGGCAGCCCCTGAGATATTGGAAGACTGTTATCATGTCACCCATAGTCCTGCTTTGCATTAAACTAGACATACCCAATTCCAGCAATCGTTCTTTATATTCCAGTCCCCTGATCATCCTTGTTGCTCTTCTTCTTTCTAGAGTCTCAACATCTTTTTTACACCCTGATGACCAAAACTCGATGCAGTATTCCTAGTGTGGTCTTACCAAGGCATTATACAAATGATACCATACAAATATTTTGGAATCAATCATTCCTGCCCCCAGTTCCTGTCATAATTGCCTAAATAGTTCCAAAAGCGAGTCCTGATTAAGGTTTCCAGAATACAATAAAATCAAAATTAATTCAGAGATTAACCCCATCCCCTTTTCTCTCCAGACTTTACCCTTAGCCCAGATGGTTCCTCTCTTTCTTTCCAGCTGTTTTCGTAATTTTATGGGGGGAAAATATTTGTAGCTTGATCTTCCTGTAAGTGTGCAGCCACATTTGCCCAAATGAGCCCTCCCTGAAACCTCAAAGAATACATGATGCTCTTTGTGTTTTTACATCTTACTATAGCTATTAAGCAACTACAGATAGAAAGTGTTGGAGTAGGTGGACAGGTACAAGCTTCAACTAGGACTGTCCTGCTGGCCCTGCGCGGTTCCCCCTTCGCGCAGGCCTGGCCTAGTACACTTCTAAAGGCCCACCTTGAGGATGGGGTGTGGAGCCCCGAGAGGTGGCATGCAGCGGCCACAAGTAGGGAAAAAAAAAACGCTAAATTGAAACAATTTTTAAAGGGGTGTTTTAAANGACAGCCATATGAATATGAGAACTATGTCATTTACACAGTATAATAATTTGATGAACATTTTAAAAAATGACAAATGGAAAAGAAAAATAAATTTTAATTTTAAAAGGGGGAAAGAATATGCCCTGCTGACATAAAGTGGATAGATAGGGAATTTCTCTGTATAATTAGTGCTTATATAAACAAAACATGCATTTTTTTAAAGATATTGGAAACTTCAGCCTTTGGTTCAAATCATAATTTGAGTACAAAAGCATAATAAGCTCATTCAACATATTGTTAAATTGTGAAATAAATGGTCTAGTAT